GTCAGTGTCTGTTGTATTTCATTACCTCTCTGCTTAAACCTCGACTCCGTGCTGAAGCAGAAATGATACTTCAACGTTTTCAGTCATCTGACAAGAAGCAAGTCTTCTCCACTTTATTCACCAAAAACGTCTTTTTTTTTTTAATTCAGCAAAAACTGATCTGTAATCTGGAACGTTCGCTACGTTGAGCTCCAGTTAGCCGCCTTATCTCACTGCGCGAGAGGCAACTGCGTCATGCGTCACGGGCAAAAGGTCAAAGGTAACAAGGTGACAGGAGGGCTAAAAACCCCAACACAAAACCAAATAATTTTAGAAGAGGGCTTAGGAAATAATAATACCAACAAAAAAAAAAAAATTGACCAAAAGGGCACTTGGGGGCAAGGAGCAAAAGGGGCAGGTGTTTAAACCCCCTTAGCCCCCCCTCCCCCCTGCACGTGCCTGTCCATCACTATTCCCAGGTTTCGGGCTGATCGCTGGTTTTCAGTTGTAATAACTGAAGCTGTGCACTGATTCTAGTTCGCTCCTCTTTAGGTCCAAAGATAATAACTTCAGTTTTGTTTCTGTTCAGCTGGAGGAAGTTTTGGCCCATCCACACCTTTATCTGTTCTAAGCATCTATTCAGTGATTGGATGGGTTCAGAGTCACCTGGTGACATTGTGATGTAGAGCTGTGTATCATCCGCATAGTTATGGTAGCTAATCCTATTTACTGCTATAACCTGAGCCAGTGGGAGCATATAAATATTGAAAAGAAGGGATCCTAGGATTGTACCTTGGGGTACCCCACATGTGACCTTTGACCTCTCTGATAAGTTTCCGATTGAAACAAAGAAATCCCTGTTCTTTATGTGAGATTCAAACCAGTTGAGCACTGGACCAGAGAGTCCGACCCAACTCTCCAGTCGATTCAGTAAAATGTCATGGTCAACAGTGTCAAAAGCTGCACTGAGGTCCAACAGAACCAGCACTGTGGTTCTCCCACAGTCTGTATTTATATGGATGTCATTGAACACTTTGACTAGGCCGTCTCCGTGCTGTGGTGAGCACGAAAACCAGACTGGAAGGAGTCAAAACGATTCATTATTGTTAGGAAGCTATTTAATTGTTTAAAAACTGCTTTTTCAATAATTTTCCTGATGATTAGGAGGTTGGAGATCGGCCTGTAATTCTGCAGTAGTGATTTGTCTAGATTGTTTGTTTTTTTTATCAGTGGTTTGAGAACTGCTGTTTTCAAAGCCTGGGGGAAAACACCTGAAGAGAGCGATGAGTTTACTATTTGGATCAGATCATTAGCAACGACAGGCAAAACTTTCTTAAAGAAATGTGTGGGTAGGACATCCAGACAGCAGGAACTGGAGCTTAATTGACTTATGATTTCTTCTAGGGTTTTATAATGAAGTAGTTGAAATTGGGTCATTTTTCCTGCATTTTTTCCTGCGTTTTGTTTGGGCACAGCATTGGTACTGGCTTTGGAGTGGATGTGCAGATTCATCCTCCGATCTTTTGAATTTTCTCTGAAAAGAAACTGGAGAACTTGTTGCAGGCGGCATTAGATTGAAGTTCACGTGGTAACATCATAGGAGGGTTTGTGAGCCTGTCAACAGTAGCAAATAAAGCTCGAGCGTTTAGTGTTTTTGTTTATGACATCTGCAAAGAAAGCCTCTCTTGCACGTTTTAGCGTTGTGTGATAGTTACGTAGTCTTTCCTTGTAGATTTCATAATAAACGTGTAGTTGAGTTTTACGGCATTTCCGTTCAGCTCTACGGCAGAGTTGTCTTGCAGATTGAACTGCTTGTGCATTTCTCCATGGAGATTTCTTCCTACCAGTCACAACCTTCACTTTAATGGGGGCAATGTAATCAATGATATCTGAAAGTTTGCATTGAAAATCATCTACCAACTTATCTACGTCATTATAGCTTAAGGGCGAGGAAGAGGAGTAGATTTAATTAAATGTTTCTGCTGTGTTTTCTGTGAAAGTACGTTTTGTGATAGTAGCATTTGTACAAGTGGGTTAACGGATAAAGAACATTCAAAGATAACAGCGAAGTGATCCGACAGGCGATATCAGTTACAGAGACATTGGAAATATTCACACCCTTACCGATAACTAGGTCCAGTGTGTGTCCATGAGTGTGTGTTGCTTGTTTGACATGTTGTGTTAAACCAAAACTCTCTAATATATTACAGAGCTTTTTTGCCCCTCGGTTTTGGGGTTGTCAACATGAATGTTGAAATCACCGACAATTATTGAACAATCATAATCAATGCATATGAGAGATAGAAGTTCATTGAAGTCCATAAAGAAATTTTCCACATATGTTGGAGTTTTGTATAAGGTTAGTTTCAAAGTTCTTTTGTTGCCTTTTACCTCAATTCCAAGATACTCAAAAGACATAAAATGACCCAGAGAGATTTTACTACAGTTCATGGTATTCTTAAATATTGAAGCCACGCCTCCTCCTTTTTTGTGTTTTCTATTCTCACTTAAAAAATTGTATGTAGGAGGCGCTGAGTCAATTAGTACGATTGGTTCATTATTGTCATCATTAATTAATACAGATTTAGCACAGAGAGATCTGGGATTTAAAAGAGCCAGTTTAAGTGACTTGGCAGCTGAAAGTTCTTCAGTCTAGAAGACTGAAGAACTTTTTTTGTATTAAATCTTCATATCTACTCCGTGCCTCAGCATCTCTGCATTTGGACCTTCTTCAACATTCTACATAACTTGACAAAAAAGGTGCTAAAATTATGGACTTTTCATTATTAGCCCTTTTATGACATTTGTGCTTTGATGTATTTTTGTTTTATCTAGTTTACTTTCAATCACTTATCTACTGAATAACCCTGGAGAAATTCTGTCATGTTTTATTGAATCTGATTTTTAATAATAAAATTATAAGAAAATATATGTCACTTAATCTATAATCCTTTGAATAAGTTTAAATTTGGACCTTTTTGTTCTCCTTTCTCTTCTCTTCCAGTCTTGTTCTCTGTCATTCAGTCCCACTGACAGCAGTGCTGAAGGTCCGTATGCGGTTCAGATGGTTCTGGAGGATTTTCCCAGACAGAACATCACTCTGACTAACGGCTATACTGGTGTACAGTCAGTGATAACACCCAGCGATCCCATGTACCAGAACCCCCTCCAGTTTGTTTTCAGAGGTAAAACTGGATCACCAGTTTTACATAGTTTTACCTCCATGTAGTTCTTGATTTGAACTACATAGAGCAGCTCTGGACTTGGAGTGTTTGTTTCTGAGCTGAATAGTTTGGATCTGCAGGAAATTATTTTAAACATTATTTATTTATTCATTTATTATTAAAATAATATAGTGAAATTATTATTAATATAGTATATTATTATTATTATTGGAAATTATTTGAAACATCAATAAGTAGAACAGGAACTTCTTAAAATTAAAGCTGGTCATATTTTTGGCCCAACGTTCAGGAAGTAATATAACAAAACTAAATTTAACTACAACTAAGCTGGCAAAATATCTGGCTTGATTAAATATTCACCTTCCAATGAACACCTGCAGGTTGTTTTAATTAATTATCAAGACCAGCTCCGTTCAGCTTGAATTAATGTGTTTCTTTGTTATTTTCTTGCAGTGGATCCTGCAGCTCCGTCCTGCACAGCAGGTGAATATCTGCCCAGGTTTCTGCCTCCAACTCCTGAACATGGAGCTCAGATGTCAACCAATGACAGCGAGACTCTGGAAATCATTATCAGAGCAGAAGCAACCCAGGCTGAGTGAGTGACTACTGGGGCCGGTTCTAGTCATGTATACGTGAGGGGTCAGGCGAAAATGTTAAGGAGGTGTCATTATGTTTATACACATTAGGGGTTGATAGACTTCATATATTTTATGGTGGACTAAAAAATGATAAACGTCGAGTAGAAGTAGACTCCTAGCAGTGATGTCATAGAAACGTAAGCGAACTTCACATTAACTTACAGGCTGTATTATATTCACAGCAAATATTGACAAAAAAGCCTTTTAAGTCTATTAACAAACACATAAGAAACAGAACATCATTCCAGACTTCTTCGTCAGCAGCGGATTAAAGTCTGAAAAGTTGCACAAAGTCAGGTGTGACCTTTTTTTCCCCCTTGAACACTGGCTACTGATGACCGCATATGCTGGACAGCTGCATATAGGAGCCAAATTATCACACTGACCAGAGACACAACGGTGCTTTTGGTTTGTGCATCACAACCCAAATTTATTATGAATGGATCATACTGCTGTCTTGGTTCAAAAACGCGCTCAACTCGAACTGTTGAAACCAGAATTATAACTTAGCCTTCAGTCCCTGACATCACCGCTGTACCACTTTTTGTTGCTCTTTTTTCCATCCTTTTCACTTTGCCGCTAATATCAGAATGTTTACATAGCTTTTATACTTTTGGCTGTCTGAGGACACATTTTGAATATTAAATCAGGTGTTATAATCAGTTATTCAGTACTTGAGTAGTTTACCAAATACTTTTTACACTTGCTTAATTAAGTGTGCTTTTAAGGTATGCTACTCTGATTGGAGTACAATTTTGGGGTACTCTAACCAACTATGCATGAATGGTTGCCCTATGTACCACATTTTAAAAACAAAAACCACCACCATAAAATAATGTCTATCACTGCAGCGGACGTCCCACCACATGAGAGTCAGGTGACGCACCGCGGTGGGCATCCCTTATTTTTATTTCTGAAAGCTGGCAACCCAAACTGTGTAACTCTGGGGCTTGTTTTGTAGCTGTAGTGTTAGCAAAACATTGTGCTTCTTTCGTGCACATTTAAGATTTAGACAACTTGACAGATAAAGTCGCCATCGTTGGCAAGCAGGTTGGCTAGCAGGGGGCGGGATCTCACTCTCGTGAGGCTCGTTTAAATACTGAATGCTGATTGGCTGTTTACACGCGGCTGAGAAGTTTCAGCTGCAGCCTGACCGCAGACAGACAGAAGAAGACCGCAGCCTGCTCAGCACGGTGCACAGCAGAACCTCAGATAAAGGAGATGGTCTGTTATTTGTGGCAAGTTTCATTTGAGGGGGCAAGACGTTTGTTTGAGGGGCACTGCCCCCTTTTGCCCCAGCGTATAGCCCCCCCCCCCCCGGTGATTACTACCGGAACTTCTTAAAATTAAAGCTGGATTGTGTCAGCATTTTCAGGAGAAAAAGTCTGGAGTTCAATTTCTCTGACTGAAAATAAACAGTGAAAACCCTAAAAACCAGAGGCGGTCACAGCTTGTTTGGCAGCCTGGGTGACCCACCTTTGCGGCGCCAACAACTCTGTTGGCAAAGGGAGCTGGGGGGATGTTGGTGTATTAGTGTCATGATTTGCAGGTGTTGATGGTGAGGAAGACGCAGGTGAGCCCAGGTTGAAGATGATTAAATGATGAATATTTAATAATAACTCCAGCACACGGAACGGAACAACTGGGAAACAAGACGTACAACCATAGACAAGGACCTGACAAGAAACAAAGACAATAGGTAGACTTGAATACACAAGGAGGGTCATCACAGGAACGAGACACACCTGGGAACAATCAGGACAGGACGGCACAGAGACTCGCAGGGGAACAGAACTAAACAAACACAGAGAAACCTCAATATAAATACAGAGAAAACACAGATCCTCACAATTAGGTACTGTTGACAATTGGATCCTGTGGTTGTAAGAGCAGGCGGCTGGAAGAGGGAGTGGGAGGTGGGTGTGAGGTCGCACATGCTGCCCCCCACGAGATGCCAACCTGGTCAGTTGCCCATTTCAGAAACCACCACTGCTAAAAACTGTATATCAGTGAAAAACTCAAAAACACCTGTTTGAGGAGGTTGGGAAGCTTTGGAAATATCTAAACTGTGTCTCTCCTGTTTCTTAAAGGACCACTGAGCTCCTGTTCAGCGGACCGGCTGGTTCATCCAAGAGTTCATCAGGATCAGGAAACTTCAGGCTGACATGGACACCAATTGACAGTGACAAAGGACTGAACAAAACTCTCTGCTTTGTTGTCCAAGCAAAGTTAGTGTCTTATTAATTTTACTGTTGTTTCAACTGTTAACTTCTTGTTTCCTCTCAGTTATTTTCCTATCCATAGAAGCTACATCTGGCCCGGAGTTTTATTTGGTCTGATTCCTTCAGCTGAGATAAATCTCCCGACATCTAATCATTCTTCCTCTCCTGCTAATAACCTTTTACTTTCACGAACATCAAAAATAACCTTAATCCAGTTCATTTGTTTCTTCTTGTGTGTCCGCTCTTTTTTTCTCAAACCTCCATTTGTGGCAGATGGCTGCTTGTACTGAGCCTGGTTGTGGTTCTGCATCTACTAGAGATTTATTCCTGTTAAAGGGGAGTTTTTTCCATCCACTGTCGCTTTGTGCATGCTCAGCATGAGGGATTGCTGTAGAGTCATCAACAACGCAAATGATTTTCTACTTTCCAAGAGGAGTAAATGCTGCAAGTCAATGACTTGATGTAATGTCTGGGGTTTCCTTAGTTATAATTTTTATATTGGATTTTGAATAATTACTTGTTATGTTGAAGTCATAAAAGAAAAAAATGTCTTTAGTGCACAGCTAATACCGGTAGCAACTGAAAAATTGAGGACTGAAAGAGAGAGCTAACTAACATAGGACTTACAGTACGACTGTAATGGCAGGCAGACAAATGCCATTCGATGAGGATCCGACAAGAGACAAAGCTAACAGGTGGGACTAAATACACAGGGAGGGTAATCAAGGAATGAGACACAGCTGGGACGCAATCAATGGGAAGACGCAAAGACAGAGACTCACAGGAAAGCAACTGAACACAGAAAACCCTAAAAATAAATGCACAGAAACACAAATCATAACATTCAGTTCTGATTTATAGGAACCAAAAGTTTCAGGGAATGTGATTCAGAGCTGAAGAACATAAAAACCAAAATATGCCTCACCATGTTTACTTCTAGTCCAGTAAGCACCACTTAAAGGGGAAGTATTCTGCAAAATCAACTTTTTTGAGCTTTTCACCATGTTACAATTTTCTCATCAAATGCTTACCTGGAGTGTTGCTTTAAGTTTTTCATGCATGTTTCATTATTGGAGGTGTAATTCAATTTCATGCAAAGGACTGCCTATTTACCTAAAGCTCCACCTTAGAGCTGCAGCCCACTGTTGAGCTTTTGCTTCACAGAACATCTCCTCCCCTTTGACTCCCTCACTCAGCTCCTTCAGACTAGCCAGCAGCAATTAGCAAACATCTGGTGTAACTGTGCATCAGCTGAGCTCATTATGAGATACATCTCAGTGCAATGTAATTAAAAATGTTAATAAAGGGTTGATAGAGGAGCCATGTTGTGATGAAGGCGGAGTTTCAGGAAGAACAGGAGTTTTTAAAGAGACAGAGGCTAAATTTTAAGGCTTTAAATCATGAAGTCAAATTTTGTTTGAGTCATATTTGATACAAATAGGATTTTTTAAATCAATGAAGGTAACTAGTTACTTTATCACTGGGTTACTTGATTCCTTGAAGAACTGTTGTAAACAGCATCATGGAGAAAAGTTTGAGCTTTTTAAAGGGACAGAGGCCAATTTTAGAAATTGGTGCGATGCAAAGTCAAATTTCTTTTGAGTTGTATAATATATGCCTGGACATAATCTCTCCTCCACATTAAGCAGATCTCCTAGGGGTCTGAATGGTTCATCATTGATAGAAAACTAAAACTTATTTTGGCACAAAATCACACTGGATTCATCACCACAGAATCAGAATCTCATTTTCAGAAATCCTGCACCTCTGGCTTTGATAGTTGCTTTATATCAGCTTAATACTGAGTTGGTACAGACTGTTGTTTTAAGACTTCATTAAACTGAATTGTCTGCTTATTTTATTAACAGTTTTATATCTAAGCTGTTGCTCCATTTACCTCAGCTCCTCTGGCTCTGTATACCAGTCTGACCTTCGGTGCGTCTTTGTGACAGCTGGAGAAAGTGAGTGGAAATCTCTGCTTTGGTCTTGAATTCAATCAGTTTTTCCCTAAACTGATAATGTTGCAGCTGATCTGCTGCTCCGTCCACAGGTCCACCAACTGTTTCCCCTCCGACTGTAGCTGCTACCACGATTACACCCAGCATGACAACCACACCTCTATTCACAACTACAACTCCACCAACTACACCTCCACCAGCTACACCTCCACCAGCTACACCTTCATTGTCCAGCTCAGACTCAACACCAGACCCAGGACGATGTAAGTGTGACATAAGTTTATGTTAGAAAACATCACCAACCCTGATAAATGTAGACGTCAACTTAAGCCTTTTTATCATTAACCCCATTAACCTGCAGCTGAACGCCCGCATGTCATTTTTCCATTGTATTTTCCAGGGTTGAGAGTTTAAGGGTTGTAAACTCTCTTTAAATCTGCTCTTGACCAAAAATATGTTTTTGCCATCCATAACAAATGGATTTATAAATAATGCAAGACAATTAGCAGCATTAAACTTTCCATCCGTCTGTGTGCCTGAGGCATAAAGACTCTTCAAGGATCTCATTCAAATTTTATTCAGCAATATGACATCGTCTTTTCTTTAACAAATGTAATTACTACCTTCATGTCTCATGATACACACTGTAGGTTTTTAATGATTTAAAAAAAACTTTATCTTGGATCCTATATATATTGTCACCTTCCTAACACGATGGTCTACATCACTTTTTCCCAAAACTTATTCTGGCAAAATATTAAAAATAAAAATAAAAAAATACCACCTCTTTCTTTCCTGTACCTGTTTAAAGCAAAAAATAATGATCCTGTTAGTAATGTTGACTCTCTTTGCTTCCAGATTATGTTTTGGCTCTGAATTTAATTATCTCTGCTCCACTGACGTTGATTTTATGTCAATAGAGA